ATATATAGAAACTATTAAACATTGTTTCCACTCGCAGTATAATATGACCAATTGTGTGACATGTGTGACAACGAATATTTTAGGTAATCGTTGTCACACATGTCATTCATATTGTAATAATTTTTTTTAAAAAAAAAAATTTTAACCGTTTTTTATAATATAATTTTTTTTCTTTAAAAAATTGTTTTTTTTATTCTTTTATTTAAAAAAAAAAATTGTTTTACGGCGAATTGGCAAAAGGTAAGCTCTTATTTATTATTTTTTTTTATTTGGGAACGTTACTAATGTTCCTTTCCATTTTTTATCTTTAGGCCCTTCTCTTTACCGAAATTCGCGTCCAAAGTAATTCAAAAAATCCGTTGTGGAAAAGGGAAGGGACGAGAAAGGGATAGAGGAGAGAAGGAGAGAAGGAGAGGAAAGAAGGAAAGAGGAAAGGGATGAGAGAAAGGAAGGAGGAAGGGAAAGAACAGACGAGCTCTTAGACGAACCCAGACTTGAAAATTGAAACGTAAGTTAGCGGGAAGTGGGAGATGAAGTTTTTTTTAAATATACTGAAGAAACGTACTAACGTTTCTTTCTTTATTTTTTTTAGGTCGCCGGACTCCCTGGACGAACTTTTTTTAACATTAAAGAAACGTACTAAACATTTCTTATTTGTTTTATTTTAGGTTGCCAGACTTTTGGACTCAGAGAACCAGACTTAAACAATAAAGGTATAGGGAATAGTCTTGGAGACCTTGGGTAAGTAACGATGGGGGAGTTTGTGAATAACCTAGTAAAGAAACGTTATAACATTTCTTTTTTTTTATTTTTGTAGGGAACGGTTTTGGAGACAATTTTTTTTTGATAATATGTATATAATATGCTCTACAATTAAATTTTACATACTGTAACGTTAAATTTTTAATAAAAAATAATTTTATTAGAGATGAAAAATGGTTGAAACTCAAGAAAATATAATATACTGTGCATACTGACAATATTGCAATTCTTGTGCTATTCAGCCAATTTAAACTAGTAATGGAAAATTTGGGTAATATTCATGCACTCTTTTATATGTGAAAATTCAGCATTCCCAGTATGATCGGTATGGAGGAGTCTCCTGGACTCTATCAAGAAAAGAAACCTTACTATTATTTGAATATATATTAAAAGAATTAAATAATCAAATCTTAGTGAATTAGAAGGGCTCAAAATAATTCCATTCTTATGTATATATTGGTCCAGATAATGACATCAAGAGTCATGAAAATGATGAACGTAATATCTTCACAAATCAATTAGACAAATTTATTGGCAAATTGATTGATTTCAGATTATATAAATGTTTGTATAATTATGCATCAGATGAAATCTAAATATCAAATATTTAGATGAATTAGCTGTTGCTGATATGATCAAAATCTTGTTGAATTTTGCAGAAAATGAAAGTTTTGAAGAGATACAAATGCCAAATCATTGTGGATGGATTTGTCAACCTAAGCTACAGGAATTGCCCCGATTATGCAGCAAAAGCTGCGTGGCTTCCAGTGCCGTACCGTCTAGTAACGAATTTAATTTCAATAAATGGGCGACCCGCTAAAACGGGAAACGGGTTTTGGGATTTAACAAAGTTTGAAGTATCCATTTAATTCCAACAAATCACTCTTACAAGTTTTAAGAGAAATTTCGTTCACAAGTGTAAAAAAAATCAAATTTGGTAAATTCCGAATTCCGAATGAAGCTTGTTAATCAAAGTTCTGACTTCTGAAGAATTAATACGCACATAATCAAATCTCACTTTCTTTTTCCCTGTGTAGAAGGTGCGTTTCAGCAGGGTTGTGATTTCGTACAACTCACGAAGAGGCCAGAGGAGGGTTTTACCAACTTTGTTATTTCATTAAGTGTACGAATCACAACCCTGCATTTCAAACGTTAAAAATCTTACATAAAAAACCGTATAATTCCTACTAAATGTGGTAGTTATCCCTATTCATGTGATTTTAGATCAAACATTTTATTTTTTTAACGTAATGATAGATTTTTTTACAAAGGAATAGTTAGATAGTTAGATTCGCTATATATTGTATCATGTACTGTATATATGTGTCACTATCTCTGAAACATGAAAGATTGAAAGATGCGTCCTGGCTATGAATAAAGTGTTTCACCTCATTGTATCTCTAAAGCGGTTTACTTTTGTTAATTTATCCCTTAAACGGCAACTGAAAAATAATAAACCACTGTAATAACGTGTAGAAACGATTTATTGTGAGAGTTATATACACATTTAGAAAGTTTTTGATCTTTAAAATTTTCCGCTACTGCTTAAGGGATAAGATCAAAATGTCTTAGATATCGTTAAAATTTTGGTTTGGTTTCCGTAGTATATCAAAAAGATGATGAAAAATTATCGTGTTATCTGAATAAGTTTATTTCGTATTGTTTCATAAAAGTAGAAAACAACTTAAACAATATAGCACCAGTTAATGAAAATCTACAACTACACGGAACGCTATATTGGCTAAATCTCTATCATATTCTATATTACAGCAAACTTCTTTTATATAATGTGGAGTAACAACAACTGAAAATATCGAGATGATTATTAAACTCGGAAAATAAAATTTCATCGATTGATTTCTAGGGTTCTCTCATTTCTCTTCTTTTTTTTTCGTCGTATAGTGTAAAAGTGCAACATCTAGCTTATATAAATCAATTTCAGTTACAACGAGTTTTTCGAATCTCGATATTTCCGGACACACTCAGATTCAATCTAAGCTTTTACTTCGTCTTAACAGTCTATGAACATGTCCCGATTTCTAAAAAGCAAACTCCAGAACCTCATTCTTCGTAATAGTTAAGGTATTACGGGCTTCCCCTATCCCTTAAACGGTTTGCAAGGAAGTTCAGCTGCAAATTCCAAAAATTGAAAACACCTAAAAAGAGGTTATAGCTAAATTATTTCTACAATGTGTTAATATTTTTCGGTTTGTTAAACTTTTTGTCGGTTTAAAAGAATCTTTATTAGATCAACATATCTTAGCATCGTTAAAATTATGTTTTAGCTTTCGTAGTACGTTAAAAAGGTAACGAAAAACAGTGATTAGGACATGTACATAGACTATTAATCAAAGTTTTGAATGGGAAATGTTCTCAATCAATGGTCATTTCACATTAGTTTCTAAGTTTTGGACGATGTGGCATCTTCCATGACTGACGGCAGACAATATTTTAGCATAATACACTTTTCGATTCTTATTAACAGTTAATGAAAAAAAATAAACCCTAAATATTATTTTTTTCTTAGGCATGTAACTTATGTTATTTCAACCAATATTATACCTCTTTGCCATTTAGTTTGTTGTACAAATTATCTATTTACCGAATCACAATTGCGTAATCCATAATAGGGTGAGAAAATCTGTTACAGTCCAGTTAAAGTCCTAGGGCTTATCGGTCCTGATACATGGACGGCCAGGACGGACCGGATTCAATCAAAGACTGATATCTTAAACTGGGTTTGGACTGAGTCCAGATTATTGCTTCATTATATTTAATTCAATAAAAAGCTAAGATATTGATCGATAATTCAATCGCTTACAATAATCATTATTACAGTAAACTGCTCAAGAAATTGATGATAAATCTCGGTTGCTTTCATTTTTGATAAATAAGTGCAATCAAATTTATATTATTTACGTTACGG